AGTAGTAGTAGTAGTATTAGTTGTCAAGTGATGGTAGTAGTAGTAGTAGTAGTAGTAGTAGTAGTAGTATCCGTATTAGTAGTAGTAGGAGGAGTAGTAGGAGGAGTAGTAGTGTTAGTAGTAGTAGTTGTAGTAGTAGCAGCAGTAGTAGTAGTAGTAGTACTACTAGTAGTAGTAGTAGTAGTAGTTGTAGTAGTAGTGGTAGTAGTATTAGTAGTAGTAGTGGTAGTCGTAGTAGTAGTAGTAGTAGTAGTAGTAGTAGTAGTAGCAATTGTGGTAGTAGTTGTAATACGTAGTATTAGTATTATTAGTAATAGTAGTAGTAGTAGTAGTAGTAGTAGTAGTAGTAGTAGTAGTAGTAGTAGTAGTAGTAATGGTAGTCGTAGTAGTAGTAGTAGTTGTAATACGTAGTATTAGTATTAGTATTAGTATTAGTATTAGTATTAGTATTAGTAGTAGTAGCAGTAGTAGTAGTAGTAGTAGTAGTAGTAGTAGTAGTCGTCGTCGTCGTAATAGTAATCGTAGTTGTCGCTGTTGTCGTCGTCGTCTTTGTGATGGTCGTAGTATTTTCAGTTGTCGTAGTAGAAGTCGAAGTCTTTGTAATCGTAGTAATAGTCGTAGTAGTAGTAATAGTAGTAGTACTAGTAGTAGTGCTAGTACTAGTACTGGTAGTGCTAGTAGTAGTAGTAGTAGTAGTAGTAGTAGTGGTGGTAGTAGTAGTAGTAGTAGTAGTCGTCACAGTAGTAGTAGTAGTAGTAGTAGTCGTCGTAGTCATAGTCGTGGTCGTAGTCGTAGTCGTAGTCGTAGTAGTAGTAGTAGTAGTAGTAGTAGTAGTAGTAGTAGTAGTAGTAGTCGTAGTAGTAGTAGTAGTAGTAGTAGTAGTAGTAGTCGTAGTCGTAGTCGTAGTCGTAGTCGTAGTAGTATCAGTAGTCGTAGTCGTAGTCGTAGGCGTAGGCGTAGTCGTAGTCGTAGCTGTAGCAGTGAAGCTTGCCGCAGTGGCACTGGGTTTTTGGAGATGGCCGGGCGAAGGAGGCGTGGGATGAGGATGGTGAGGGACCACATGCAGCGGATACCAGGGATGAGGTTGTTGTTATTGTTGGTGGTGATTCGGTGGTTGTTGCTTTTGTTGGGGATGAGGATGATGACGATGGTGATGATGGTGATGATGATGGCGATGGCGATGATGATGATGATGATGATGATGATGATGCTGATGATGATGATGGCGATCATTTTGATGATGGTGATGATGCTGATAATGATGATGGTGCTGATGATGATGATGATTAGGATGATTATCATGGTTGAGATGATGATTAGGATGCTGGTCGTGGTGGTGCTGATGATGATT